CACTCACTCACACACACACACTCACACACACTCACAAACACGTTTGTGTGGATAGATAGATTAAAATAATTATTGAATAGCTTCAGCAGAACAACAGTGAACCGCGGTCAGATGAGATGCTGTTTACTGTGTGTCAGTAAAAACTATTTTTCCCGTCCTGTCAGCCGTTATACTGTGATCGTAGCACGCACTCTTCAATCTCACGCACAAATGCGGCGGCGCTGTATATCATTTCATATTAAAGCGCGACACAAACTACGAGCATACAATGTCACAGTTATGTCATCAGTTTAGTCATGAAGTTACCAAAAAGGCGATTAAATCTGCTCTAAAACTCTGCATGCATGTAAGTGTTTGTTATTTGAGTCAGATTTAAGAACATGTCTCTGAAATGCAGTGGTTTTCTGTCGTGGAGCAGCAGCACTGTGTCCCTCATCTAACACCAGATTCAACTCCTCAATCATTACAGAGACTTTAAGAGCCACACACACACAGAAACACACTCTCTTTCTCACACACACACACACAGACACACACACACACGTTTATCTAAATAAGCACATGTCAAAGACTTATACTCTTAAAGCGAATCATAATAACTACTGACTAACTCAAAAGGAAACCACATTCACTGTATTTCAGAATCATCTTGTATCTTTGAGGAGGTTTTGACACATGCAACTCTCTTCTGGAGGCTGTTTTATGCACACAACACACGCTGAATATAAGTCCTAATTAATTTAAACACATTAATAAACTCTTGAGTGTTTTTATCTGTGTTTATGTGTGATTATTAATTAGTCAGTGCTGGTGGCTGTCCGTCACACAGACACACGCAGTGATGAAGGTGTCATGTACACCTGTTGATTATCTTCTCATAATTAATGTGTACACACACAGGCTAATTATTCTGTGACATTTGATTAATGACTTTGGAGTCTCAGTGTCTCAGACAGAGAGGACAGCTGGGAAATGATTGATGAACACACACGCCGCATGACACAGAAACTGACATACGTGTGCGTGAAACACACACACACACACACACACACAGGCAAACAGCTTCATCTGCTTCAGCTTCAAATCATACAGTTCTCGTTATATAATCAGATCCGTCAGAGACACACAAGCGCATCCAGAGTTATTCACATCTTCTGTTGTGATTCTGGAGCTCAACTGAACAATCAGCCTCAATCTAGAACAGATTCCGCGTGGACACACAAAACCGAACACATCAAATCACACGCATGTGAGGAGTTCATGACGCAGGACACACACACACACACACATCTGCTTCAGCTTCACATCATAACAGAGTTTCCTTACTGAGATACAGATGACCTGTGCTGTGATTGGCTGGCCTCTGTGTGTGTGTTACATTGTTCATCAGGGCAGGAAGTTGCTGATACTGTGTTGATATGTAAATGTGGGCGGTCTTATGTTAATGAGCTGATGGCTTGTATATTACACCTGCATTGACTCTCTCTCTGTTTCTGTGTGTTTGTCTCCAGCTCTTAGAGTTCGACCGAGAGCTGTCTGTGTTTAAGGAGCGTCTGCATGAGCTGGACATCTCGTTTCCTCCGAGGTACGAACAGCTGCAGTAGGTCAGCACACGATGAACACGCTCCTCACACCTCGAGGAGATCCGCAGCTTTGATAGAGCTCTAAATGAGCTGAAAGCTGAAACCCGACCAGAGCTGTCAAGTTCTTAAAAATCAAATCAAAACGGTCAAGATCGGACTTAGGATCGCACTTTCATTATTTAGTGATGCACTGATTCTCACAGTTTTTGTGTGCTAATGGTGCACAATGAGTTGTTAAATTTAAAGCATGGTTTTGAGAATATAGTAATAATAGTATTAATAATAAAATAATTATATTTACTACTAATAATAATGTAATTAATGTTTTTAATGTATTAATTTTAGAAATATATTATTAAATGTATAAATTAATTAGAATAACAATAATAATTTATACAGCTGATAAATATATTAATTTATCAAATGTATACTTTAATTTATGATGCATATAATATTATTTTAATTTATAACATTTTTAAATGTATTTTTTGTAAAGTTTATTATAATAATAACTATAATGATTATTTATTATTTTAAAGTTTGTAATAATAAGAATAAGAATGCAAATTAAAAAAATTATTAAATTTAATGTTGTTAAATAAAAATAATAATAATGACAATATTCATATTAATTTATAATGTTTATTATAATTTATTATTTTAATTGATTTAATTGTAAATATATTATTTAATGTTTAAAGTTTATAATAATAATTAGAATAACAATATATTTTTAAAGAAGTATTTATTAGTTAATTATATTTATAAAGTTGATAAATATATTAATTTAAGAATTTTGTATTATTAATAATATTCTATAAAGTTTATTATAATAATAACAATAATAATGACAATTTTTTTATTTGTATTTATTACATTTATAATAATAATAATAATGTAAAACAATAATTAAAATAATTAATAATGATGATAATATAGAATTTTAAACAACAATTATTTCTTAATTATTTATATTTATAAAGTTGATAAATATATTAATTTATGAAGTTTATTATAATAATAACAATATTCATTATTTTATTTTTTAACATTTATAAAGCTCTTTTAATATTTTATGCATTCTTAATAATAATAATACATTACTATTATTACTTTAAAAGTAATATTTCATTGATTTCAAAGCTGAACCCATCTGTGGGGTGTGTTCTCGTCTCATTAATTCATACTCAGATTCATAATGCTGCCAGACACACTCCTGATCTGTAGCCCATGTTTTGTTGAAGTGTGTTAAAGACTGTAATCAGATTGTCCCGTTATCTGCGAGCGTTTCAGCCTATAGATGCGTGTCGAGTCCCATCTAGTTTCAGTCGACTAAATATCATAAGATTTTAGTCGACTAAATCTACAGTAAATTCAGTCGGCTAAAATCTAATGGGTTTAGTTACAGTGCATTTATTAAGCATTTCTCTAAAATTTCCAAACGCATTATATAGGTTTGATATTTTGTCAGGTTTTATCATGATAGACACCGATTTAACTGCTGTGACACACAACATGCATTTGTGTTAAAATGAAATAAAACCACTTCTCATAAAGAACAAGAACATGGTCTTCTTTTTAATGAAATACCAATGGTTATATCGGCTAATTATGCATTCTTTATAGCAACTTGTTTACCATATTCTTCATTCTTTCAAGCAGACATATTTATTTCTATAAATAAATTTAGATTAATCTTTAGGGCTACTAAAGTTTTTCAGTCAAGAGCAGTGAGTGATTTTCTGTC